TCATTTCTATAGAGAGCACCCCCATTGTCTATGACAATAACGATAAGGACAGCTAACATCTAGTGCTTACCATTTATCAGTTGCTGTCCTCGGTGCTTTACAAGTACTGCCTTACTTAAACCTCAAAAAAACTTCACAAAGTAGACACACTTATCTCCATTTTACAGATAAGGAAACCAAGGCTCTGAATAAATGAATAATTTTTACAATAACCAAATAAGATAAGGATCATCATTGTTGTCATCCAAGAGGATAAACAACTGGTTCAAGGTCCTGTAGCCAGGAGACAGAGCAGGGCTGTAGACATAGCAGGGCTTGAGTTAGGGCCAGCTCGTGTCCACACTTGTCCACACTGAGCCCTCCTGCCGCCAGGGCTGGAATCTGGGCATCCTGACTCGCGGGGTCTGGGTTTCTCCTCAGGGCCCTGGCCACCTCGTTGGCTCCGGGCCCTCTCTCCCTGCTTCGCAGAGACCCCAGGTCCTGTGCTGGAGGCCCGGGGTGGTCAGCACTGCCTGAGCCTGCCTTCCTGGGAGTTAGCAGGCCATGAGCCCCACCCACTCCTCTCTGGGGGCAATGGCTCTGAGACCTGGGCCTCCACCTGCAGGAGACTGAAGTGCGGGATCAGGCTGGGGCTGCAGGAGAGAGAGAAGCCTGGGCAGGGCCTCCTAATTTTAGAGACTCCCTGAGAGCTGCCATGGAAAGGGTGACTCACGCCCGCCCAACTGGGAGGTGGCAGCCCCACCCTGAGGCTGGTCACCGGGCTCCTGGGTGGCAGCCTGCCCACACACTGGTCCTGGCTGGACAGAGGACAAGGTGAGGCCCATCATCACCTGGGGCCAGGGGCCGAAGTGAGAAGGACGATAATAGTCAAATGGGCCACAGCTATGCCTGGACCCCTACCCACTGCCTTTCCTTCTCAAAGCTTTATGGACTGAAAAGTCCTGCAATCCTGCTCCAGGCACACACAGAATTTCCCACCAGTAATACACTGTGTTCATCAACAATGTAAAAACAATTTTTCTGTTGAAGAGAAGGGTTTCTGCCTGGAAAAGAGGGGCTAACTTTTAAGGCATGCAATCGAACTAATCAAAAGTTAGGGACTTAGGTGAGACATGACCCTCCCCATTGTACAGATGGGGACTCTGCAGCTCTATCATCCTGTCCATTTTTCAGAGCATCTGCCTCCCCTACGCAGCTCTCAGCACACGGTGTCCTCACTTGCTCTTTCTTCTGATGGGTCCCTCCCCCCAGGAGGTGGGAAGCCTGAGGAGGAGGGGTCTGCTGTGCCCCCTGTTCTATCCTCGGTCGGCATCCTTTGGGCCTATGCCCAAAGTACGATCCTACACACAGTCCGCTGCCCATATGGGGAGATTCCTGCTCCTTCCAATTCTTTTTCTTGCCTCATTGCACTGGCTACGCCCTCTAGTGTGGGAGCTTATTAAATAACCACGGGAGGGGAGAGGGAAGGAGGGAGATGCCTGCCCCTCCATCCCACAGATAGGCAGCAGCAACTCACCTCTGCCGAGAAGTCCCCATGGTGCAGGAGAAGCAAGGTGTCCCCAGACTTGGTGGAGTATGGGAGTAGCTGGTCACCCCGCTGCCGGGCAATCACAGTGACCTGATGGGAGAACTCAGTGTTAGAGCTGAGGGGACTGGCGGGCCGGGTCCCAGCACCCCTCCGCACTGAACGCCAACTGGGGGAGACAGTGAGGAAAGCCATGCCAGCCCGGAGCCCCTCTCTCCACCTATCGGCCTGGGGCACACCTGCCCCCCAGAGGTCAGTGGAGCTGCTTCATTTCAAGCTCCCGGGAAGACCCTGGCAAAAAGAAGCATGTGTCAGTGTGGGACAGGGGCTGGGGCCAGGGGTGGGACTGCATGTGACAGGGTCAGGAACCGGAGACCAAGTATTTACAGAGCAAAAACTGGGGGCTGGGGGCTGGGAGGCGGGGGTGGGGGAAAGAGCTGCATGTGATTGGAAGAACTTGGGCAGGCATGATTAGGAGGTCCCCCTACAACAGCAGTTCTTAGCCTGGGGCTCATGGATGTCCCCGGATGGCTGTGGAGCACACGGAGCTCTGAAACTGCTCCAAGGCACAGCTGTCTGTGTGCGGGTGTGAGCACATGCACACACTTCCTGCAGAAAGGGTCCAAAGTGTTCACGGCATTGTACGTGGTGCCTGTGCCCTGGAAGGCCAGGATGCCCTGCTTGGGTCTGCCCTGGGGAAGCCACTTACCACGTGAGCCGGGCCCAGGTCGGGGTCATCGCCGCTCAGCCCCGCATAGGAAAAGGACACGCGCAGGTCTCCGACCTGGGGGTGGGAGAGATGTGGGCTGACTGAGACCGGGAGCAGTCAGCCTGGGCCTGTGTCCCCAGCACCCAGAGCCGAAGCTCTTTTCCCACCTCCACACCTCGGCCCAGGGGCTCCCATCTCAAGGCTTCTCCCCTCCAATCTCATTTGGCCAAGTGGATGCAACTGAACCGAATCAGAGTCCCAAGCAGGAATGTGGCTCCTGTGTGTTGTCTGGGGGCTGGCACTGTAAGGGCCTCCACCTCTGCTGTGTGAACAGCTCAAGCCCCTGTGTACCTCCGGATACTTGGGGTTTTCGCTGTGGTAGAAATAGTCTCCCCGGCGAATGATGTCCACGTGTGGGTCCTCCAGCTTGGACAGGCTCAGTGGCTTGAAGTTGTCAACTTTGTCGATGAGGCCTGAGGAGAGTGCGGGAGTCACAAACGATGCTGTGCAAACAACGCCCCCGAGCGGTACACCCTTCAGCCCGACCGCCTTCGGGGAGCACCCTCCCCAATCCCTCCTTCCGTACCGCAGGCCCCTTTCAGTCTCCATCTCCTCCAGGAAAGCCTCCCCGTCCCCCTTCCAGCCGGTGGGAGTGGCTGAAGCTCTGGAAACAGCCCGAGCCCTGCACCTGTTCTGCCTCAGATCCCCCTACCTGTCCAAGCCTGGCTCGCCTGCTGTATGCATTGCACTAGAGGCACAGCAGCCACTGACTGGGCAACAGGGCAGATGGCAGACAAGCCAGGCCCCAGGGCACGGCCCGTCCTCCCTCTCCCTGGCTATTTGGGGCCTATGTGTCTTCTCTCCCACTCTATTGGGGCAGGCCCAAGGACAGACCCAGGTGGCTGGTGGTGCCTCCTTGTCCCTGGAAAGCCTCTCCTTGGTGTCATCTGGGGGGCCTACAGTGAACCACCCTCTCCCTCACATAGGGCAGGATGCTGGCTGGGGCTCACAGACGGAGGCCTTGGGGGCAGCCTTATCTCTGCGGCTGGCTCTGGGGCTGCTTGAGGAAGGGCTCTCAGCTCTGTCTGGTCAGATCAGGCACCAGGGGTGCCTGGTACTTATTCTCTGGAAGAGACCGTGTTTCAAAGGAACCTGCCTCAGGTGGGGCCGCTCTGCACAAGTACCCCACCTCCTGGGGGTCTGCCTTCCCTCTGGCCCCCAGCCCAAAGTACGATGCCGGGAAAGTGCAGGCTGATCCCACATCCAGGGCAGTGGGGACCCCAGCTCCTGGGAGGTGGCCAAGTAGAAGCACAAGGCCTCTGGGTGCTGTTGGCTCATCTGAAGGGGCCAGAAACTTACCCGCCGAGAGGAAGAATCTGCCAATTTGGACAAAGGGGGCTGTAGCCGTGAACGACTCCACTGCCATTGCACTGTGAAGAGAAGGAGCTGTCGGCGGAGCGGGGCACTGGCTGGGGGCTGTGCCGTCTCTTTGGGTTGCGCTGGGCAGGTTTTCCACCCCGGGGCTCCTGCAAGTCCCGACTAGCCCAAGCACTGCGGAGGTCTTGTCTTTACCACCTGATCTACCCCTCGGACGCTCCTGTCCCCTCGCCTGGTGGAGCACCCTCCTCCTGTCTCCTGTCCCCCAGAGCTTCACATCTAGACCCCTACCAGCCTGGCCCACCCCAGCCACCAGTCATCACATGGACCCTCTGTGGTTCTCTACATCATCCCTGACCCTTCCCAGCCTTCCCAGCCCCAGGTAGCTCCCAAGCTCAACTGTGCATATTCAAGACCCTTCCGGGCACAGGCCTGCCCGAGGCTCCAGCCACGCTCCAGCGCCAAGCCCATCTCACCACCCCCGTGTCTCTGAGCTAACTGCCTTCTGCCCAAATCCTACAAAGGCCCAGATCAAATGCCACTGCCTCCTGAAAGCCCTTCCTGATTGCCCTCCCATCCCCATGGCTGTTAACAAATGCTTCCCGGATACTGTATGTGCAAGTGCCTCTCAGCACTCAGTCCAGGCCTTACATTCGTGACCTGTTGGACCTGTGGGGGTCAGGAATCGGGATTTCCCTCCGCGTTCCCGGTGCCCAGCGCAGGAACTGGCCTCAGAACTGTGTCCCAGACTTTCATCAACTCATGAGGCAGAAGCAACTCAACCCCATCACTCTGCTGAGGAAGCTGAGGCTGGGGACCCGCCAGTGGCCGGCAAGGCTGTGCTCAGGGCCACCTCTCACCTGGGGTTTTTGTGGCCAATCTCTCGGTCGAAGTTTCTGCTGTTGACGATTTCTGACCTCCACTCGGTGTCTGTCACAGGGAGAGGGAACTCAGGAACCATGGTAAGAGTGGCCACATGTCTGAGGCTCTGTGTCCTTTTATCCAAGCCCTTGGCCACTCCAGGGCCAGAGGGACAGCTCCTGGAGCCTCAGTGGACACATGACAGAGCCAGACTCTGAGGACTGACACCCAGCGATCCCAACATCTGGTTCCACGCCTTCCCCACTGCTGTCAGCCTTGGCCAGGGGCAGAGACCACATGTGTGCAGGGATGATGGGGGCCCGGTACTCACTGTAGGAGTACCTTGTCTCTGTCTTCACCTGCCCGTCCTCGGTGTACTCCCTGTGGGGAAAGCACAGGGCACTCCAGAGTTAGCCTGTCACCCCCAGGGCAGTCCCATGTCTAAGCTTCTCCAGCTGGACACAACTTGGGCCCATGAGGTCAAAATCTCCAAATGGAGCCGGTCTTGTCTATACCAGCCAGAGACAGGTGTTTACTCCTGGGCAGACAGCCAGCTCCATCCCTCAAAGGCCCACCCTGGAGAAAAGAGCTTTATCCTCCTGGGCTGAAATATGGCTCCACTTGGCTCATGCCAAGGGCTGCAGCCCTGCCCTCTGGGCTCAGACACCTCGCTGCACCCTCTGCCCCAGGCCAGCCCCACGGAGGGCCCCTTGCAGCTGCCCTGGCTCCCCTAACCACCTCCCCATCCTCACTCACAGTCCATATTGCTTGGCTCCAAGTGACTCCAGCCTAATGACAGATGCCCTCAGACTTCTGTCAGAAGGGACAGGATGTAACCCAGTGCCACCTCTGCCCCGTCATGGGAGACAGCACGGAGCCCACACGCAGGAAAGCACTGTTTGTGCCTGGATCCAGTCATGCCTCAAGCCTGGGCAGCCCTGCGTAACTCCCTAGACACGGGAGCTAACCCATCTTCCCACTCGCATTAGGTTTTCTGCCACCTCCGAACAGAAGATCATTGGCTGATAACTTGGGGATGATTCAACACTTCTGATAGGAAGATTTAAAAAAAATTGTTTTAATGTTTACTTATTTTTGAGAGCAAGAGGGACACAGCATGAGCCGGGGAGGGTCAGAGAGAGAGGGGGACACAGAATCTGAAACAGGCTCCAGGCTCTGAGCTGTCAGCACAGAGCCCGACGTGGGGCTCGAACCCACAAACCACGAGATCATGACCTGAGCTGAAGTCAGACGCTTAACCGACTGAGCCACCCAGGCGCCCCCTCTGAGAGGAAGATACCATACTTTAAATTCCAGAAGTGTCCAAATAAAGAGCCACCTGCATCTGATCCTGACATCTGACGTCTGCACCTCTTATCCTGGAGTTTTCACTCCCTGCCAGCTCACCGGGACTCCTCCGTTTCCACCCACTGGTACATCTCCACGTGTCGCCGCAGCTTCACAGCCGGAAGGTTGACCCCATAGTTTGGATCCGACAAGAGCTTCAAAAAGAATCAAACAAATCAAACACACAAGCAACACAAAACTCAGGACAAGGCTCACACCAGCCCAGGATGCCAGAGGAAGCCGGACTGGACGAAAAACAGGCAGGGAGGACAGGGCCCGGAGGCAGGTACCACAGCTGCTTCGGGCGGGAGGACCGGGTGACACTGCCTGTCCCGAGTCCACAATGCCCAGCGCCTGGGGCCGGGAGCCTCACAGCACCGGCTCAGGCTGCACGACCGATGCCCTGGCGCCAACCACGGGGTATTTAGGGTTCAAACAGGAGAGGGAGGTCTGATCACCAGAGTACCTTTGGGCCTTGTGCTAGACACACGTGTTATCGTAACTGCTAAAGCACCTTTTCGTGAAGCTCCTGCCACGTGCTGAGCACCGGGCCAAGGGGTTGGCCATCTGATCCCACCAAATCCTTGAAGCCGGCCCCCCAGTTTGTTACAGTTATTGTCTGCATTTTGCAGAGAAAGATGCTGAGACTCAGGACTGACAGGTCCGCACAGCTGCTGAGTGGGGCAGCCGGGAATCACACTTGCGTGTCCCTCTCCAAAGCCCACGTGCTTAAAAGCCCCAACCAGACAACAACCAGCGATGCGCCCCGAGCCTCCAGCGGGTCAGAAAGCTTCACCAAACCTACCTTGGACGTGCGCAGGGCCCCGATGATGTGCACCAGCCTTCCCTCATTCTCTGGGGCCACACTGTGGATGCTGTCAGGGGTCACCACAAGGGAGAGCCCCTCGGCCAGGGAGGTGGCTGTCTTCAGTGCGCGGCCCTGGGAGCAAAGGCGAGTGGGGATTTCACCTCAGATGCGGCTCAGCACAGTCGTGCTTACCGCAGTGTATCATGTCAGGATGGGGCCTCGGGAAGCATGGGGCTTATCTCCCCATTTCACAGCTGGAAAACCAAGGCCTGGCAAGTGGCACAGGTGAACTGGAACCCAAGACTCCTGCTTTCCCAGGCAGTTCTCTTCCTGCCACACTCTCACCAGTCTCATTGTTACCCTGTGCTGGTGCTTCTGTCTGCTGTGTGCCCTTATGCCATCTCTCTCTGCCTTCTCCCTCTCCCTCACCTCCCAGTCTATGTGGTTTAGATGGGCCTGTCTGTAGTGCTGTCCAAATCACGGGACCCAGGCTTAGCCAATCGGAACACGGGTTCATCGTCCTCAGGGATTAGTTCAGAGAGAGGACTGAGATGAGCCAGGACACTGAAACATCTCCCTGCAACTTTTGCTAAGTTGGTCTTGGAAGAGACGGGGCTGCTAAGCTGGTTGGATGTGACCCTGCAGTTGTTGGCCATCTTTACCACCACAAAGGAAAAGTCCGCCAAAGAAGAATCCATAAAGAGAAAAACAGGCAAGAGTGGAAAAATGGAGATTCCTGGTGACCCAACATGAACACCTGGATCCAACCATGCCTGAAGCTGAGGCTACCCCAGGATTTCAGGCCTGTGCACCAATGCACTTGTCTTCCTACTTACGACAGTTGTGACATGAGTCCTAAGAGAAAACATTCTGACTAATTTAGCACTGCCACCCCCACCCCCGGCCCCGCCTGTGGTAAAATCTAGGCCCTTGTCACCACATCCAGCCTCTGGACTCATAGCCTTTGCTCTCTAATACTGCACAGGGGAGTCACAAACATTTTACCTCATTGGTGAAAATTAAGTAGAAGGAGAGCAGGAAGGTCATGAGCCCCACAAACATCCCACCCGAGGTCTCGCTGAGCCGCTCCAAGAAGCCTGGCTGGGGGTTGCTTGTAGTTTTGACATGTTCTCTCCTGTTACTTGTACTGGAATACTGAGGGAAAAAAATATTAAAAAAAATCAAAACGGAAATTAGTTTTTTAAAAATAAGTTGAGTTCTGCTATTTGTTTATATTCAGTTTTCACTGAAATTATATACAGTAAAAATGCACAGGTATTAAAGGTATAGTTTGATGGGCATACCCCATCTGACCAACATCCAGATCAAGATAAGAATGTTTCTACCACCTCAGAAAGTTACCTTGTGCCTCTTTCCTGCCAATACTCCCCTCTCCCCACCCTCTAGTGGTAACAAGTATTTGAATTTGTATCATTTATAGATTAGTCTTGCCTCTTATAGAGCCTGACGTAAATGGGACCATCATACAGCACAAATTTCTTTTCTGTCCGGATTCTGCCTTGGCATAAAGCTTTTGAGGTTCAACTACATTGTGGTGTGTGTATCAGTAGCTCATTCCTTTACGTGGCTGAACAGTATTCCACTTAAGAATATACCACATTTGTTGACTCAGTCGCCAGTGGGTGGGTGTGTCGGTTGTTTCCAGTTTTCAGCTGTAATGAACAATGCCTCTATGAACATTCACACAGAAATCTGTATGCAGATACGGTGCTTTCCTTTTCCTTGGGGAAAGTGGGTAACGAATACCCACAAAGGAGTGAACTTGCTGATCACAGAAAAGATGTATGCTTTTAAGAAACTTGCCAAAAGGTTTTCCAAAGGGGTTATCAGAGATATATTATTAATTCAATTCAACAAAGGTGGCTCAGCTTCCCGAGGGCCACGGCTGGGGCTCATAGCAGCGAGGGAAGGGGAAGACGGGCTGCAGGGCCATCGAGTTACAGGCACAAACAGTACTAAGCCATGCTGAGTGTCTGGTGAGGAGCAGATCCAGCACCAAAGGAGCGACCCCTTCCAGCTGGGAGATCACGGCAGGCTCCCCAGAAGAGGGGGGCATTCGATTGGGATCAGAGAGGCAGATCCTGGAGTAAGGGCATCCCCAGCAGGGGGAGCCATTGAGCGATGGTGAGGAAGCAGGAGGTGGTCCTGGGAGCATGGCTGCCCATCTGCTCTGGCTGGGTTTGGGGAGGCATGGGCTGGAGGGGAGATGAGGATGGCTAGACACATCCAGGAGGGTTCATGGTAGGCTTCAAACTCCAGAGTCAGTGGGTCAGGTTTTGTCCAGCCAAGAAGAGAAGCATGGTTTGAAGTGTCCCCTGCTGACCAGCATCGTTAAGAGCAGAACACTGGAACCAGAAGAACTGGGTTTGAATCTAGGCCCTGCCCTGTACCAGTGATGGCGCCTTGGGTGAGCAATTAACCCCTTTATGTTCTCCATTCGCTCATCTGCAAAATGGGGATAATAATCCAATCCATAGCGCTGCTGAGACCAAAGGACTGAATTATCAGACAGCTCAACAAGCAGGGCACAGGAAGGAATGCACAGGTACCCACGGCTGGGGTACACTGACCAAAGTCACAAAGGTGTAAAGTGGTTCTGAGATGAGTGATCAGAGTGGGCCAGGCCCCTGGCACAGGGGGCCAGAAGAGAGACTCGGGTCAGTTTCTGCTTGAACAAGGCTGAGGCCACATTCTCTGATTGTTCCTGAACGTCCCCAGCCCATGCCTCCCAGAAACCAGATGTCCATTGCATTCAGAAACGGTCTTAACTTTCCACACCACTGGGGAACATGAGTGGAGCTGTTCGATGCAGGCAGGCAGGTGACCATCATCCATCATAATGATGACAACGGCCAAATGCCAGTCTATTACAGGCCAGGCATGGGAAAGCTATCGCTATCCCATTTCACAGATGAGAAAATCGAGGCTCAGCAGTTAAGCCCAGATCACTCAGCCTCTAAGGGGCAGAATTAGGCTTCATATATGGACAGACCAGAGGCCACTCTCCTACCACTTTGCTCCAAGCTGCATTCCTCACTTCCTGGGCTGTAAGAAGAGTTGAACACTGGGAACCTGCTGCAGAGAGGGTCAGGGAAGGGAGCCAGTCCTGCTGTTCGCAGTGCAGCCCAAAACTTGGAAGCCAGAAGGCATGACTTCCTTCTGGGCCTCCCCTCAGCATACCTCTACGAGCCAACACCAAGGAGAGGAGCTCACGGAAGGCCTTGGAGGGAAGAAAGAAAGGCACAGGAGGATATACCTCAACCCACAGGAGGGGTAGGGTGGGCAGTGACATGCCACACCCAGCCCACATTCCAAACCAAAATCCCGGTAAACATGGAGGGTCTGGAGTGGAGGATGATGGCGATTTCCTGCAGCCACACTTCGCTACCCACTCTGCCATCTCCCTAGCCTGCGGGGCACCCTCGGGTGCCTCTCTTCCTCCCCTTCAAGGCCACCTTTGAGCCCCTTACCTTGATGCTGGCTCCTTGATATGTGTTGAACACATACGTGTATCCTCCGTGAGCACTCCAGGCTCAGAAGCAAAGAGCAGTGAGTGATGGCACAGTGGTTGACACGTGGGCCCTAAAAACTACCTGTTGCATCAGTCGCTCTACCTCTCTGATCCTGTTTAGTCACTTATAAAAAGGAGATGGTTACCAGTCCCTCTGTCCCAGGGCAGTTTTGTTGTTATACTGATTAAGAAGTTGTGGCACCTCCCCGCTCCACCCCACCATCATCAGATTTTTCTTCCTCACTGGGCCTGGTGGCTCCTGTAAATGTGCACCCAGCTACTGGATGACTCAACACAGGTTTGGCAGCAGAAGATGCCCAAACTCATCCACATTCCTTGGACCAGGTCAGGTGCCACTGTACCCAAGATAGTTTCTGCCCACCAGGGCCACCTGAGCCAGACTGTGAAGACAGATTTTTCTCATGCATTAGGCATGTACCAGGCACCGTGCTAACCACAGACTGACTCCCTTAAACTTCACAGGAACAGATCCCACGAAGAGACACAAAGCCTGAGCGATTAAGGCCGCACCGCTTCTGAGAGGAAGAAACTGGATTTGCCCCCCAGGTCTGCCTGACTCCCAAGCCTGCTGTCTTTGGATAGCATCTTCTCACGAAGTATCTGGCCAAGCTGGCTGTCAGACCCTGGGCAAGTGCCTTACCCTGCTGGGGAAATTCTCCATCTGTAAAATATGGTGGTGGTGGCGGTGTGGGGGTGGACAGAATCTACCTCTGGTTTCCTGACTGCCGGCTCCCCTGGCAGACCCTGGGTCTCAGACTACCCCTGAGGCGTTTCTAGGTGCAGCATTCACGGTTTCCAGATCTCCCAGACAACTCTGAGGCGGAGTACACTAGGGCTGTGGGTGAAACAAACCCTGCCTCTTCAGGGGCGTGGGGCACAGAGAGGACCCAGGGGTCTGGCAAGAGGGTGTAACAGGTCAGGGGAGAGTGGCTAGGACGCTCCAGCAAAGCAGGAGGGAGGGAGCGTCTGGAGCTGGCAGGGCACCAGGGCTGGCTCCAGAAGCACTTTCACAGAGGAGGGGAGTGGTGAGTCACCAGGCTTCTCCCACACCCAGCGCTCCGTCGGGAGGCGCTGCTCCTCCCACGGCTCGGTTTGTTGAATGAATGTTGGGCTTCATTCGAAAGGTTTCCGAGAGAAAGGCTGGCTGCAGGGAGAAAGGGCCAGCAGCCTTTTGAAGGGAACCACCTTCAGCCAGGACCTCTCTAACCAAACACACCCTAGGAGGCCAAGGGGCCCGGCAGTGGGGAAATGCTCCCTCCCACAGTCATCCTAACTCCTCTACTCTCAGTCTCGCCCGCATCCCTTTGCAGCATCTCTAGCCTCGGTTTACACGCTTCCCTAGGGCGCGGAGCTCACGGCCCGCCCGCACAGCCCCGTCTGTCCGCTGATGGACAGCCCCACCTGAGCCGTGTAGGCTTCCCCACCCTTCCCGCGGACCGGCTCCCTCGGAGGTCCCGTCCAGCTCCCAAAACCCGTGTGTAAACGGGAAGCCCAAGGGCCCAGGTGGGCACTGGGAATGAAAGGAGGGGCTGCGGGCAGGCGCCGCGCACAAGGCGATCCCAGTGGAGTCTCTCTCCCCGCAAACGCACAGCCCGACGTCGAGGTCCGGGCAGACTGAGAGATGAACAGACGGGTTAGCTGCCGGAAGGCCGAGACAAGGGCATGCAGAGGGAGATGGACAGGCCGCACGGAGGAGGGCCAGGCAGGCAAGATGGACCTAGACGGCCCCTTCGGGGAAGAGGCCCCGGGAGATGGGGAAGTCTGGGTGGGGTCCGGCAGACCAGGAGACACTCACGTTCGCGGCCATGGTGAGACCCGGCTCGCCGCTCACCCTCGTTCTGCTCAGCTGCGGAAGGGGTTGATGGCCTGAGTACAGAACTCAGCGGCCTACCACCTACCGGACAGCTGCGAAAACCCGCGTAAACCCCAGAATCTGGGAGGACGTGCCCCGTGAGCCACAACTTTTCCGCTCCTGCGCGCCGCAAGCCTTCCTGGTAAATGTAGTCTGGGATCAGGTGCTTTAGCCACTGAGTTGCAACACGCACTGTACCTCATTGCGCCTGCGCACTGCAAGCCATTCTGGGATATGTAGTTCCTATCGCCTGAAAAGTCGCCGAGCCACGCGCGGCTTCCTGGGAAATGTAGTTCCCGGCTGAAGGGGAACAGGGTTTGGGACTGGGAGGACGCGCAGGCAGGCGCGCGGCGGGCAGGCCTGGAGGGGGCGGGTCCGCGTGGGCCTCGGAGCCTCCCGCCCAGCCCGAGGAGAGGTCACAGCGGGAGCCTGCCGCCGCCTGGCCGCTGCCGCTATCGCCGCGAGGTCTGAGTGCCGGGGCTGCAGCCATGGCCTACTGTCGGCAGGAAGGTAGGGAGAGCGGGCTGCCATGGAGACGGGCCTACGAGGGCCTGCAGGGGACACGCTGTTTTGCCACCCTCGCAGCCCCACAGGCCCCGGCGCCCCGCGACCCCACTGCAGGGGCGGGCGACGCGAGGGGCGGCCCGGGATACCCTCCTCAGGACCCTTGGGAGGGCTGGGCGCTGGGGTCGCCACGTCCGTTTTGCAGATGAGAAAACCGAGACTGGGAGGAAGGAGGCTGGCCCAAGGTCACGGTGAGACTCGAACCCTGACCTCAGAAGGACCAGCACGTGGCGGATTTCATAAACCAGGCTGAGGGGGCGCGGAAAGTGCTGAGCACGCTTCCTCTGCCTCGTAATTGGGGATTTATTGTTACCGTCGCTCTTAACCGCACACCACGCCTTTCCATTTGTACCCGCCTTTTAACTGTCCCGAAAGAAAAGTTGCCACTCGGGTTAGGGCTGTGCTGGAGTGGTAAAAGTGCCACCAACGGGGACATTTATCGAGCCCCTACGATGTACCAGGCGCTGTTCAAGGGGCTTTATATGGCTTTTCTCGTTGATCTCGCAGCGGTTTTTATAATTCTAGGCGAGGCTGTATTATCCGCGTTTTACCCAAGAGTAGACCTTAATACACAGAGGTGACTTAAGTCCTGGAGCTGGGGTTTGAGCTTCAGCAGTCTGGTCACAGAGCTGCACTATCCAGTTTGGTGGCCACCGGATTCTAGGGAGCTCTCTGCTGGGAACCTCCACCCCACCTCTTCAAGAAAGTGCCCGTCTCTTCACCTAGCTCCTCTTTGCTCCATCTGTTCTTATCTCTACTGAAGAACCCAAGGGTCTTTCGGCTGGAGTCCCAGAGCCTCCTCACACACTGCCACTAACTGGCTTTTTGTCCCTGAGCTGTCACCTGACCTCTGCAGGCCCCAGCTTCCAGTCTTCTAAAATGACAAGTTGGTCTTCATTCATTCATTCATTCATTCATTCATTCAGCAGATACTCATGGGCATCTTCTCTGTGCCTGGCGACAGGGATGGTGGACACACGAGAAGGTAAAGCCACAGAGAGAGTTAGAACTCACCCAGAAATCCTTTGGTGAATAGTCTGGTTCCCTCAGTTTAATTCAGGGATCTGAAGACCAGAGAAGGAGATGACCTACCCAGGGTCACGCATCCAGTTAGGAGAACATTTCAATCTAAAATGTCAAGCCTTGGGGCACCTGGGTGGCTCAGTCGGTTGAGCGTCTGACTTCGGCTCAGGTCATGATCTCACAGTTTGTGGGTTCGAGCCCATCATTAGGCTCTGTGCTGACCACTTGCTCAGAGCCTGGAGCCTGCTTCGGATTCTGTGTCTCCTTCTCTCTCTGCCCCTCCCCCACTCACGCTTTGTCACACTCTGTTTCTCAAAAATAAATAAATGTAAAAAAAAAAAAAAAAAAAAATTTAAACGTCAAGCCTTTTCCCCAGTACCTCATTCTGCTTCTAGACCTCCTCCTTTCCTGGGTCATAGAGCTATAATCCTCACTGATGTGTCTACTGAGTACTATTTTTATTGATTTATAACTGTGCCATGAACAAAAGTCCTCAGCCCTCACCACTTTGTTCGACAGTAGGCCTCTTGTTTTTAATTTTCTTTCTCTGGGTTTCTAATTTACTTCGTTTAGTGAATAATTTTGAGCTGTTTAGGTAGAATGAGGCTGTGCAGATGAGTAAGACTTCTTGCCCATGAGGATATCTAGGAGTCACAGGTTCTTTGGGAAGGAAAGGCTGTTTCCATCTGTCACCAAAGCATGGATCCTTATCTTTTCTTGGGTCAAAGATCTCTCTCTTAGTTTGGGGATGAGAATTGAAAGCCCCTGCCCGATCGGGCTCCAGACTGATTTCTAACTACCTGGTTACTGCTGAGCCACACTGGCCTCTTCGTTGTTCCTCTGCCTGGTACATCTGTCTCCAGCTCTTCCCATGGCTGGCTCCTCGTTCTGTGCTCTGAGTGAGTCACTTGCCGGTGCAAATTTACCTCGGGGGGTCCACCCACAACCCAGTTTTGGCATTCAGGGTGTTCCAGAGCCTGGACCCAGCCTTGCTCCCAAGCCTCAGACCACCCACCCTTTTCTGTATCAGTGCCACACTGTTCCTTTCTTTAGTTGCCTCCTTTTCTATTGCCATCTGCCCTCTCCTGTTCCTCAAACAAGCATTTATTAGGCACCTGCAGTGTGCCAGCCTCGGCACATGGTGGTGAGCACAGGTGACGTAATCTACTCTGTGGTTTGGTGGAAAAGATGGCCGCTCTTTCTGGGATGGATCTGCTGAAGATTCTGCTGTGTACAGATCCTGTGTTTGTGCCCATTCTGGGGGAGATGAGAACACCCATCCCGGGTTTTTTGGTTTTGTTTTTGTAATCTGCTTAATGGTAATAACCATTCTGTCTTCCTGTCCTCTGCTGGGGCTGGGGTCTTCCGAGTTTGGTTTCTCCATTCACTTGTTTCGCAAATATTGATAACCCACCACATTCTGGATACTGTTCTAGGCTCTGGGGATACTGCGGTGAAAGGGATAGACAAATCCTTGCCCCAGAAGAGCTGATATTTCAGCAGGGGAGACAGGTGGTAAACAAATATCATATGGTAGGTGAGGAAAAGCACTTTGGAGAAAAAGAAGGCAGAGTAAGGGAGATGGGGAGTGATCAGGGAAGGTGGTATTCAGGAGGTATAAAGACAGGGAGAGGGTGGCTGTGAGGGTATCTGGAGAGTGCTCCCGGAAGTGAGAGCAGCCTGTGCACAGGCCAGACGTAGGTATGCACCCAGCATGTCCAGTAAAGGCAAGGAGGTGGGAGTGGAGGGAGCCAGTGGTGGGAGATGGGGTCTTGGCAGCAACAGATGCAGATCTTTTTGGATGTATTTGAAGGTAGAGCCAACCAGATTTTTTTATTTTTTTTATGTTTTATTTATTACTTTGAGAGAGAGAGAGAGAGTGTGTGTGTGTGAGTGGGGCAGACAGAGGGAGAGACACAGAATCTGAAGCAGGCTCCAGGCTCTCAGCTGTCAGCACAGAACCCGACACGGGGCTTGAACTCACAAACCACGAGATCATGACCTGAGCCGAAGTGGGACGCCCAACCAGCTGAGCCACCCAGGTGCCCCTAGTCAACCAGATTTGATGATGGAGGTTAAGAGAAAAGAGTCGAGAATGGCTGTGCAGAGAGTAAAACTACCGAATTGGGGGTATCTTGGTATCCAGCTGCTCAGTTAGGCTTTCTGTTCTCAACCTCACCCTTAAGTCCTGTTTTCCAGAGTGGGCCCTGGGACCCCCAATTCCTGGCCCCTACCAGGGTCCTGGGGTGGGGATAGATTTTCTTCGAGCTGACTTCTCTTCTTGTGACTTTGGGTTTCTGTTATGTCAGAGAGCACTTCTCTCTCAGCTTTCCCGCTTCCAGAACTGTACTGATCTCTCTGGCCTGTGATGGTCTCTTTTCTTGGCCATTTTATCCTTGTCATTTGCCGCTATTTAAAAAATTACTGTCTTTTGAGTGGGATTTAACGTGAGAGCAGAAACTCATTTCACCCCTTTTGCTTAAGTAAAGTCTTGTGATTCTTGCCCTGACCACGGGAGGAAGATAGGCTGAGCTTCTGGGGGACCTGTTTCCTGAGGCCCTAAGAATGTGCTTGAGATCACAGCTGTTCTGTGCTTAAGCCCAGATTTGAACTGCAGTGCTAAACTCTGTGATATTGATGCCACTGGGCCAGACCTTCTGAAGCTGGGTTTCTATCTCAGGCTCAGATCTGTGCTTCTGTTCTTTGTACACATGGTTTCTAGCCCTTACTGTTATTTGTCCATGCAACAAAAGGAGCATCATCTGGATACCAGGATTGGGGATACAAAGATACGTCCCTGCCCAGAAACCACAGTCCCATCGCCCAGGGGACAGTCTCTCCTCAGTTTTATGGTATGAATGTGTCCCCTCCCCTCCCAGTTTCATACATTGAAATCCTAATCTCCAAAGGCGATAATATTAGTAGATGGGGCCTTTGGGAGGTGCTTAAGAAATGAGGGTGGAACTTTCACTTATGGGATTAACGCCCTTATAAAAGAGGCTCCAGAGAGATCTCTAGCGCCTTCCACCATGTGAGGACACAGCAAGAAGGCAGCTGCTATGGGCCCCTCACCAGAAGGTTATCATACTGGTGCCTTGATCCTAGACTTGCAGCCTCCAGAACTGTGAGCAATAACTTTCTAATATTTATGAACTATGTCGGTGGTGGTATTTTGTTAGAGCAGCCTGAACGGACCAAGACACCCATCCAGGGTAGGAAAAGTGCCACTCAGGGAGGCTCAGAATCCTTACATTCTCTGCCAGACACAGCTCAGCAGGACCATTTCCCCCGCACTTCATTTCTGTCCATGAAGCCTCTAAGACTTAGCTTCAGCCACCAAATTCAACTAAAGGTATCGTTAAGCTTCA